AGACAAACAACAAGCAGGCAACCTTTTCCCCAAATCGTTGCCTTTCTGCAGAATTTTAAAATGTCTGCAGCTCTTTGTTAAAAGCTTGCATCACGAATTACTACCTTGCCCAGAGCAGCAGAGCGACCAGCATGAACACAGAGTCCTGGCACCAGCCCTCTCTCCAGCCACGTGAGCCCAGCTGCTGACTCCCGTGTGGCAGCAGCCAGGGACCCATGGCCACAGCACATCCTGGAAGGCATGAGCTAAAAAGGGGACTGGGAGCTGAAGGTGTAAAGGGGCAACAGTTCTTATACTGCCGCAGCTGTTTTCCCAGGGGATATGGATGTCGGTTATGCAGCGAGGCTCCAGCACAAGTCCTCTCCTAGAGAGAGCCGAGACCTTACCTACCTGTGCTCAAGGGATAATCCATAGAATCATAGAATCATTCAGGCTGGAAAAGACCTCAAGGATCATCAAGTCCAACCCAACACCACCTAACTCACTAACCCATGTCCCTAAGCACCACCATGCTACGTATCTCAGTGTACAGTCATATCGTCACCCCTCCTCCTCTTCTGTCTTCCTCCACCCCCTACCCACATCTGTCTCCATCACCACTCCACATCTCAAACAGAATAATACCCACCCTACCTCTGCTGGCACGTAGCTCTCGCTGAAATGTCACTACTCCTGTATCTTTCTGGTCTAGTCTTGTAAATGCGGTCCCCTCCATATTTTTGCATAATTGCTTTATATATTTCTCTTAGCAAGAAAGTATCTGTGGCAAACGCTCTCTTCAGGAAGTTTTCACTCAGTTTCCATGCTACAAAGGGCACTCAGGCTATGTTCACTGTAATACACTTCAGCCCTATTTCCCATGTTTATTAGAGGTCTTCAAGTGCAGCAGTCGGTAGTTGTCCTGATTTTGGCTGGGACAGAGTCAATTTTCTTCCTAGCACCTGGTATAGTGCTGTGTTCTGGATTTGGGACAAGAATAAAGTTGCTAACATGCTGATGCTTCAGTTGTTGCTGAGCAGTGCTTACACTCAGTCAAGGACTTTTCAGCTTCTCATGCTGCCCAGCCAGCGAGGAGGCTGGGGGTGGACAAGAGGCTGGGAGGGGACACAGCCAGGACAGCTGACCCAAGCTGTCCAAAGGGATATTCCATACCATATAACGTCACGCTGAACGTGCTGAGCAATAAAACTGGGAGGAGTTGGCTGGGGGGCGGTGCGGCTCCTCGGGGACTGGCTAGGCATCGGTCAGTGGGTGGTGAGCAGTTGCATTGTGCATCACTTGTTTTGTGTATTCTATTACCATTATTATTATTTTCCCTTCCTTTTCTGTGCTATCAAACTGTCTTTTTCTCAACCCATGAGTTTTACCTTTTTTCCAGTTCTCTGCCCCATCCCACTGGTGGGTAGTGAAGCGAATGACCGTATGTTGTTCAGCTGCCTGCCAGGTTAAACCACAACGGTCCTTTTTGCTGCCCAGTGTGGGCCATGAAGGGCTGAGATGACAACAGATCTGACCAGAGTGTGTCAAAACAAATTTGTTATAAGCATTCATTGTATTAGTTTAACAGTGACTGCTCACAATGTTGATTTATTTGCTCTCAAAGTTGTGCTCATTCTCAGAGCTGTGCTATGTAACACCTTACTTGCTGTACACGTTCCCGGTTGTGCTGTTCATCACCTCTGGATTAAGGCTCTCATTTGGCTGTACTGTGTAACACTGGCTATGATATAATAAAGTCACTGGTCATGAGACTAATCCGGTATTCATACCCAGCATTGCCATTATCTCCATACTTTGGGAACCATCTCTTGCAAACTATCAGTAATTACACTCTTTACCTTTTCTCCTCAGAGAGTCAATCTGTGGGGAAGACAAGGGGGATGCTTTCCCCCGCTCCTTCACCCCATCCTTCTCCTCCAGGCTAGCCACAATAGCTCTTGAGAATTTTGAATATCCTTGGGATGGCCAAACCATCAAGTTCCTGTTGCTGTGTCTGCTGAATGTTTTTCAGGTCTTGTTTAAGGTTAAACTACTGTTTGTGAATACCACCCAGACGGAACCAGAACTGGCTTCAACCTGCAACGATCCAACGCCACACGCCATCTCTGAAGGCCTGTTACGACAGACGGAGATCAAAGTCATGAACTAAATGAACTCAATGGCCATTTTAGATGGATGGCCCACGGACCAGAGGGATGATACCTGTGTGTATGTGTCAAAAGACAGAAAAGGCAGTAGTGATGAATCAGGATGTATTGGCAAGTGTGGGTCCTGACATAGGTGGTATAAAATACGGGATGGATATTGTCCTGGCTTCAGCTAGGAGAGAGGTAATTTTCTTCCTAGTAGTTGGTATAATACTGTGTACAGTCATGCAGTACCAAACATCCTGCATACTAAGAAGTGACCATTTTTACATGCTTTACCTGCTTCACAATTGCAACATGGAATTCTTGCCTTTGCCATTAGACTCTAATGCTTCTAAACTGTTATGCAAAATGCCAAAAGATCAGTTAACTTAAGCCACAATATCGTAGGATAATTATAAGAGAAGCATGACGCAGAGAAGCATAACTTCAGAGACGAAGAGAACAGAGGGGAGAAATATGCTGTGAAGGGGAAAAGCTGTTCACATTAAGAAAATAGGGATCAGAAGTCAAAACTCACCAAGTTATTGGAAAACCAGATTGGTTTAATGTACAACTCTTTCAAAAAAAAAGTGACAATCTTCTCTTTAAAGTGTTAAAACTGAAAAGATCAGTAAGGTCTAGGAAGGAGGGTCGTATGAGCTCAGAGCATACTATTACACACAGAGAGGCCAGAAGTTCCTATCGTAGATTCCAACATGTGAACATATGGGTCCAAACCCACTAGAAATTGTAAGAGAGAATTATTTTCCTTCCATCCAACTTCACTAGACTTACACGGGATTTAATATGACCCAAAATCTCTTCTTAGGAAGGAGGACTGGGATAGTAATGTAATCTGCCTGTCTGAGGATGTGTACAAGCACAATGCCGTAGCTGTGAGAAATAACAAGGAACTAAAACAATACCATTTTTTTTCCGACATCATCATTTCATGAGAGTAGAAACTGACTTTTCCACTTTCTGTGACCTCCAATGCAACTCACATTGTGACTCTTCTTTTTCTGTACGTGGTTCTTACCTGCATTTCAATCACACTGTACATAAATTTTACATTAGGATAGCAGCAGTTCTTTTAAAATAGTAATAGAACAAAGTCTTAGTGAAGGTACTTCAACAGCAATGATGAGAGCCAAAAAAATCCACCCCTGAAAAACCCCACCGACATTGCTTTCTGAATATGTGCTTCGTAAGCATGAAGGACTTGCTTCTAAACCTGGTAAATCAGAGTGCAGCATCCACAACTCCGACAGTTCGGGAAGCTCATCAGCAGTTGGAAAGGTTTAGGATCCATCATCCCAATTTATACTTTTTAGAGAGAGCGTTATATTTCTACTTATCATGGAGAAGACAATGGTAACTTGACATTAAATGAGAAATGAAATGCCCACCCACCAACAAGAGAGGCAGCATCCTTAAATTTGGACAGGCACAAGGGCATCTTACTGGAATTTCATTTCCTTATGAATGTCACTTGGCTTTATCTTCCTTATGACTGGAGGGGTTTTTTGAGCCACAGAATGTTATTCTGTGAAGGAAGGCAGATGAAGGGATAGTAGCAGCAGGAGAAGATAGGGTATTGTCCTAGGGACTAATTGCGCAACTTGACTATCGAATTTGTTAGAATAGGTGAAAATTCCCCACAAAGAGAGCTTAAAACCACTGGCAGAGTTTTCTACCTCATTTCTGAATAACATAAAGTAGAGGTAAACATGATCTAATTGTAGACAATTTGCTAGTCAAAAATCCGTTGAACAAATTGTTCTTTCTGGTATATGAGTTAAAGTTAAGATACTCACACACAAGGGAAGATCATCCCTGAACGTTTATGACTACAGGATACCTGAGAAGCACTAAAAAAACCCCCCCCAAAAAAAACCACCCAAAAAACCAAGGGGAAAACAATGACTTATAAAATCTCTCCTATAAAGTATGGAGCTACAGGAAATGTAGCAATCTGGTCCCAGATGAAGTCAGCCCTGCTTTGAGCAGGGTGTTGGACAGGGTGATCTCCAGAGGTCCTTCCAACCTGAATAGTCCTTGGATTCTGTCAAATGGCTGCAATTAATAAGGTCGTGCCAGACTACTCCAAACCTAAAAATCTGTCTATCTTGGGTCTAACAGCAGAGATGGGCTCAGATTCTAGTGGAAAGGACTGAAGTCCCCACTGAGCACCACAGCTTATCCTCATTCTCAGGTTACCCCATGAGGCCCCAGCTGCCTTGCCCACTTGCCGCCTAGCCCCATACAACAGTACATGGTTTTACCTTACTCCTGTTTATTCGAAAGCACCAAGTGGATGTGCAGCCCCTGAACACTCTGATCTGTAACGGAACGGGCTTGTGTGTGACAAATGAAGGCAGTCAGAATGAGGACACACCAGGGACCCTATCCTCCATCTTCCTCCTTTCCCTCTGACACAAACGCATCGCGCGAACACGACAGCACGCTTCCATCTGCTGAGGGAGCTGCTCTCTTCTCCTGCCACCCTCCCTCTGCATACAGATGTGCTTGCATGTGGATGGCATGCTCCGGAAAGCAGACGCTGCTGGATTTAAATCCCCCTGAATTCTCTGATGGATTAAACCTTAAATCTCTAGTCGTCCTTCTTAATGCCTCAGTAAGTAACACACATAGTGGTTACACTGATTTTCAGCTGAAATAAAAACAAAAGACAGTCAAAATGAAAAAGTCTGAAAATCAATCTGTGCTGCAAGTAGATGGGACACTAAAGCGTTCTGCATTATTTTCTCCCAGCACCCTTCACCTTGCCTAAGGCAAAAGTCACTGGCTGCAGCAAGAAAACTTGCAGGTAGGTACATGTATCAGAGAAGGAATGTACCCTGCACCTACCTGTAACCCTTCAATGGCCAGTTTCAGGATAGACGGTGTAAGCTTGGAGGCTTGCTTGAAGGAGAAGTTGCTCCAATCTATAATTAGAATGAAGCCATTGATCTGAAGCTCCTGATCTTCAATGAGCACTTCCAAGGACAGTAGGATAGCCCGAAGGATATCTATGAAGGAGTTCCTAAAGCCAAAGCAGAAAAAAAAGAAAAATAAATGTTTGCAGTTATCTTCAAACCTCAGGATACTCAGCTTTGCTGTGGATGGGCCATGAGCAAGGGAAGGGGATTTATTCTGGTAGAATTCTTCTGAAAAGAGAGTTGTTTCAGAGGCATCACTAAAGTGCTCCCACTCCAAAACTCCCATTCTTCTGCTTGATGTGATAAGTCCTGCTCACTGGTGGATAAAGCAGACCTTGAATTAAACCTTTTTTATTCTTCTGGCATTTCTTACAATAGATTTTACCTAAGCTACTTTTGGAAAATATTTGTCTGTGGCAAAATGAAATGGATTCAGCCTGTCAGTTAAACCCCTCCTCCTTTGGATATACTTTACCAGTTTTTTGTTTGTGTCTTTTCCCCCCTTCTTATCTTTCTGTTATAAAGAAGAAAATCAGAAAAGGAAATAAATTGGTACTATGCTAATATAAACAGTATGGTCACAACTAGGTTCCCTGGCTTCCTGCTTGAGTGGGGAGAATGATCCAAGGCGTTGCACAAGGAAATTTCATTATTGCCTGATTTCTGCGAACCAAATGCAACATGGAAAATAGCTGCATCCACTCAAAATTGTAACTCTTTATTAATTAGCAGCTACCAATGGCCTGGCTGCAAGGCGCTCCTCAGCTCTGGGGGAATGGTTAGAAACCTTGGAGGCCCTGAAGGAGATTGCAAGTGACAGAGGAGAAAACGTTGAGACATTTTCTTTAATGTGAAACTCTGTGCTCGGAAGCCTGGGCCGCTCTCTGCTTCCATCTCGTGCATTTTACAAAAGTGAGAGTTGGACACTTTAATGACTTTTTCCGTATTTACACCTGAGGAAGCTGAATCAGGCCCTCTTGTCTTCTCTCCTTCCCAGATTTGCAAACAACAGATTACTTCAGAGAGCAACAAGCAAGGAAAGCTTCAGAAAGTACAGCTTAACCTTCTGTAAAATGAAATTGTAACATCCCACTACTGCAGCTTGTTTTACTTCTGCATCATTCTCTAGCTTTGATGAGGCCTGAGGTCTGTTACAGAGAAGGCTCACACCACGTTCTCCCATGGAAATGTTCATTTCATCCTTTTCTGCTGTTTTCTTTAATTTTAAACAAGTCTTCTAAGACTACAAGAGCATTTTTTCAAATTCTGCCTGAGAGATAAAAGCTGTGTGCAGTCAGAACAGACTTCTCCACCATCGAGACGTCTGCCCCTGGGTGGCAATAACAGATGATAAATTTCTATTGGAAGTAAACAGTGAAGTGCTTTCTTATTCTTTCTCTTTTCTCTCAGCAGGTTTCGAGTGGAACTGTACATTCCTTCTCTAAAGACATGGCCCCTTGAAAAAGCTGTTTCTGAACGGTGCCTTCCTGCAAAAGTTAGGAGCTTCTCTGAAATATAGTTGCTGAGGCAACTTGCAATCCATAGAGCTCAAAGATGTTTGTCTTTGTTGCTGCTGGGTACCAGACCACCCCTCTCGTTTGCAGTGACTGTACAGCCTTGACCTTTCCAAGGTGCGTGGGGAAGCTGTTTTAAACGGACAAACCGAAGGAGTTCTTTCCTTAGCAGCATAATCTGAAGGAATGCCTGTTGGATTAGACACTGGCATTTCTTTTTAGTCTAAATTTATTTCAAAAAACCCTGGTATGAATACACTACTCACTGCCCAGCTGAAATGGGTGATGACCTTCAAGCAGCAGCATCCAATTACTAGACTTTCAGTGACGGAAAATGCAGTTGCAACTCTAGACCATACCTGCTCGATATATCCCACACTGCTCTACCCCAGCATCCCTGTTCAAGGGGGTCAGCCTTCCACAAGAACTGCCCCATGGAAGCTCCCAGAGGTGTGTGATGGCTCCAAAACTGTCCTCACACACGTACCAACCTTGTGCACTCTCTTGGTGTCATTGGCACAGAATGATATTAATATTCATGGATTGGGGAAGGCTGACTAATCCAGAGCTCAATTTAACCCCACATGTGCAAATCTTAATATGAACCGAATACTTGTTTTGTGAAGGTGTGAAATCAGGGTCACACTGTGATCAGAACAGGTTTCATCCCTCATTTGTGGGAAGAAGTTTTCTTAATAGAACATTTAAACTCATCTTCACAATCCTCCTACCTCTGATGCTTTTAAAGGCGGTGCAATGATTTCAACAGGGCTGTATGGAAATGATGCATACAAGGTATTTTCTGCAATCCACTTAAACCCTAAATAACAATGAAATATTTCATTTGACTGAGTGCAAAATCTTCCTCTCGGACTCAGTACTGAGGAATTCCAATCTTTGTCTGGGTGTCTACATAAATTACCAGGTTATCAAACAACTACTCACCTGTACTTCCCTGTACTCCCATTAGAAACTATTTGCCTAGGAGACATGGCACCCAGTTTTCTTAGTGCATGACTCATCTGGCTGTCCCCTGCCCAGCTCTCTCCTCTCCTCTATGCATTTGCAGGTCTAAGACATGGTATAGGGAATATCTCAAAGTGAACACAAAGACATTTTTCAGATGAGTACAAGGAGCCATGAAAGCAGCACCCAAGTCCTCCAGGTGGGCTGGCTGCAGGCACACTATTTGGTGAACACAAGGTTTGGACAGATATCAGACAGAGTGCCACTTGTGGCTGAGACCCTCTGCTCCCTCATCTTGAGGCTTTGAGACAAATCATTCAGCTGTGGGACTGATTTGCATCCAAATCATTTTCTATGCATGAACACAGAACCACTTTCTATCAGTCCATCTCTTTTGTTCCTTGGCTTAACGTTCCCTTCCCTTCTCCAGTCCCCCTCACCACCAGTTTCACTCTCTCATACAAAAAGAGGTGAAATAAATTACAAAGGGAAATGTGGAAGGTGCTGTAAGGATGCAGCGTGGAGCCTACTGAAGTGAGCCCTTAATGAGTTACAAAAGACTTGCACAAGCCCCAGAAAGACAAAAAGGAGGAGGGAGAGTGCCCACGTACCTTGGCTGAATGAAAAGGTGTCACAAAAGAGGCTCTTCAAATATCCTTGGGAAAATGGGAAGTTAGGCAAACAGAAGCTAGTGGCAAGGAACAATAATGTAAAACAAAAATGAAGATGGTTTAGCTGAGGGATTTGGTGGAGAGACTAGCCAAAGGCATAACATGACAATAAATAAGAAGAAATTACTTAATTATAGGAGGCATAAGCAGCCTGCGAGAGAATCAAAAGGCTCGGTGGAGTACCAGGGCGCGATGGGAACAATTAAAGGGGATAAAGACATTGCAGGGAAATTAAATGATCTATTTGTGTGTCTCTGCCACCAGTCATTTTGAAGAGATACACGGATAATAAAGCTGATGGACTATTGGAAAATAAGGGGTCAAATAAGACACGCTGCAGGAAAGTAGCATCAGTAAAGGCTTTTCACACGCGTCTCTCTGAGCAGTTAGGCACAGGCTCTGTTTTAGGTGTGCTAGTGAAATTAATTGGATTATTCGGATGGTTAAAAGTATGAAAGTACAGAAGTACTCGCAGCTGAAGCCGTTAAGATTGTCTGGTAGTAAGCAAAAACCAACTGTCACTAAATATCCTGCCTGTCCCACCAGAGAAGAGGCTAACAAATTTTGGACCAGTGTCATCATCTTTGCAGTTGCAGATAACTTGACCGAACATCTCTAAGTGAGGATGCAGAGCTAGCCTCTGTCCTGCAATCATTAAAAAGTGGCTTCATTAAATGCAAATGCAGATAAAAGGTGTTTCTTTACTTGTTAGAAAAAGTCTCAGGATACCAAATTATTACCTTTTAAATGTAACAAAGAAGTGAAGCTACACCATCATATACAACATAAGCTGACGAGACACTAAGCAATATAAAACTGGTTTCATTGAGTCTGAACACCTAAGGAGAGCAGACAGGACAGTGCACCATGATAAAATCCTGCAACCGAAGGTGAATAACGCTCAGCAAGGTGTAAACCTGGCACAGATAACAATGAGGTAGGAGATCACATCTTTGTTCCCTCCTCACACCATAAACCCCCGACGGAGAGCAAAAACGCACCCTTAGCTTCTCGCGGGGGAGAGCTGGCACGGCCCTGCGAAGAGGATTCCCACCGGGAGGAGTGCTCAGAAGGGGATGCAGAAAGAAGAAGCAGCAGAAAAAAAAAATGCTCACGTTGCCCCAAATTATTTGAGCTAATGGAAGCTGAAGAAACTGCAAGGAAGGGCTTAGAAAGGGAGATGTGAACAAGCCGATCAATGCTGGGAGAGCCTCAGAAGGAGCATTTTGAATTGCTCCCACATGCAGCTCAGGGACGGGGTTCATGGAAAGCCCTTGGAATCCAGTCAGCATTGGATTTGAACAGGCATTCCTAAATCATACGAAGTAATTTATTTCAGCAGATGAAGTTCTCCCTTCTGCTCATGTAGTACTGATAAGAAAGCCCTAACTTCTGATAGTGCATTCTTAGAAAACATTTGGGGTTTTTTAATGGATGTGTTTACTTTAGAAATTTAAAACTCACCTCTGCGGAAAAAAACACTGGAAATTACTGACATACAGTCCTTGGGGGTTCGTGTCGGTCCAAACTCATGGTCAAGAGTGTCTGCCCTGGCCCTCTGGTGTCAGAGGGAAATGACATCCAGTTCAACCTCTGCAAGACCTGATCTGTTAGGAAGTTCTGGTGAGGAAAGGTCCCTCACACAAGGCAGCCCCTGGCAGAAGAATAACCAGGAGGAATAGCTGCGAAGCAAAGACCCATGAATAAACCTGGTGATCCACTTGGCTAATCCTGCACCAGAGAAGACGGACAGTGGAGCAGAAGAGCTCACCGCCGACTCATGCGTTGAACAGGGCTCGTTTGTCTCATCTCTCTGAGGTCTGAGTAGTGCATATGTGAGCAGAAATGAGCCAGGCTCGTCTGCAATCCACAGAGAAAATGGGTTGCGTTCACAGCAACATTCACAACAAATATTTTGACCAGCCATGGGTAACTAACTCTCTATGTAGAACAATTCAAAGACATTCAAACTCATTACCTGCAAAAAGATGCATAATTTACTACCATGCAAATTGGAGAAATTCTCATGCAACCTTCTTATTTTGGGGGGTACCAACCCTCTCTTTGTCATGACAAAGTAAGAGACTTTTTTTTAATTTCTTTGCAGAATCAAAATATATGCAGATAAAAATCCTACTGGGTAAAACACAGGTTGCATTTTGTTAATGTCATAGCTCCAAATTAATCTCCTGTCACATCCAGTGTAGCTATCTTAGGCTGTTCCAGTGTGCCAGCTTCAGACAGGCCTCTCTCCTGATTTGTAATGAAAAGATAGCAAGCTTTTCCCCATAGCATCTGTGTAAGCCTATAAATAAAATTCCCAAGTAACTTTACATCCAGGATACCAGACTGGAAAGATAAGTGTACTGATTTTTTTCTTTGGAAATGGTTAGTCCAATAGTGCACTGGGTACAATGAATAGTGTAGGTTGCATTTAACAACGTTAGGAATCCACTGCTTAGCTTATAACTGAATGAAGGCCGATCACCCACAGACACCTGGATGGCTTTGAATTCCTGCTTGGAGTGAGCTGGAAGCCTCTGCCACTGCCAGTGAAGGGGAAATGTACCAGCCTGCAGAAAGAAACTGCATCGGTTTATTCTTCTATCATGCAAAAATTGCTTCTCAGTGGCTTTCGTAAAGATATAAAAATATACCCCCTCGTTATATTTCTGTTGGATGTTCTATATACAAGTATTGAGAGCCGTCACTTTCCGCTTCAGCTGAACTCCATAGCAACCAACAGGTCCTGAATTACATGCTCCTCATTCAAGTCAGTGTTACAAATCTCCACCTACGTAAACTCATTCACATTGTGGGCACCCTTGTCAAAGGAATACTTTGTCCCTGATGTTAATGTAACTGTGCAAGGACCCTTTCTCTGTAATCTGGCTGAAAAACAGGGACCTTTGCAGCCCCTGTGCCTGGGGAGGTGGAGAGCAGGTGGTGGGGATCTTTGCATCCCTGGTGGGACCAGCTTCCACCAGGGGAATGGGGAGGTGACATCTGCTCAGCCTCAGCCCAGGCACTTGTTCCAGCAGGGAAGCAGTGAGAGATAAAGCATAAAACTGCTACACTCCTGAGACCTCAAAAAATCCCTGACCTCTCCAGAAACTTGATCCCAAGTGGATCAGGCAACCGACTGCAACTCAGCGCAGCACAAGCTTAGTGATGGCACAAAAGGAGTCCAGGGGTGCAGCAGGGCATCCCAGCCAGCAGTCTAAGGGTGCTGCAGGCAGAGCACTCAGCTCCGTGCAGGGTGACACCCCTCAGGAGCAGTGTGCTGCTCTGCTTTGCAGCCTGTTACTGTAAGAAAGGCCAGGATTGACTCTCAGGTGCAATATGACTCTTCGTCTGGCTGTGCATTTGTTTTATTCCTTCATGACACTGTATTTCTGAGCTGCACACTGCTGTTTTTCTTGCCTTTTTAGTACTCAGACAATATCATGCTTGCACACTGTACAAATTTCTCTGTTGTGAAGGAATAAGTGACAATCATGGGCAGTGTGTTATGATGAGGAAATGGCCTCAAGTTGCACCAGGGGAGGTTTAGGCTAGGTATTAGGAAAAATTTCTTCACTGCAAGAGTGCTCAGGCATTGGAACAGGCTGCCCAGGGCAGTGGTGGAGTCACCATCCCTGGAGGGGGTCAGGAAACGTGTCGATGTGGTGCTTAGGGACATGGGTTAGTGGGTTGGGTGGGGTTGGGTTGACAGTTGGACTTGATGATGGAGGTCTTTTCCAACCTGAATGAATCTGTGATTCTATGATGCTGTGGAAATTATTAAAATTCCTACTGTACAACTTCTAAATGTAATGAATAAATCAATGCTACAGAGGCACCACAGCAATTTGCCTGGATATTCCCAAATGCATTGTCTCCTGAGAGGAGCACAGGGAAGATGGGCAGAGAGTACACTCCAGCATGAGCACAGCCAGGGAGTTCATGGTGGTTTGTGGTGGGTTGACCCTGGATGGGCCAGGTTCCCACCAAAGCCACTCTGTCACTCTCCTCCTCAGCTGGACAGGGGAGAGAAAATATAACCAAAGGCTTGTCGGTGAGTCGAGATAAGGACTGGGACAGATCATTCACTGATTACCATCACAGACAAAACAGACTTGAATTGAGGAAAATTAATTTAATTTGTTACCAATCAAATCAGAGTAGGATTATATAACCAAATCTTAAAAAACACCTTCCCCTCACCCCTCCCTTCTTCCCAGGCTCAGTCTCAGTCCTGATTTCTCTACTTACTCCGCCCAGACAGTGCAGGGGGATGAGCAATAAGGAATGGGGGTTGCGGTCAGTCCATCACACATTGTCTCTGCACATCCTAACTGCTTGCTCTGGCTGCA